TGTCCTAAATAGAGTGCCCACAAAGAACAAAGAAATTACACCATTCGAGGAATGGGAGAAGAAGAGATTAAATCTCTCTTATCTATGAACTTGGGGTTGTTTGGCAAAGGTGAATGTGCCAATAAACAAAAAACGAAAGCTTGGACCAAAGACTATTGATTGTGTCTTTCTTGGTTATGCTATTCACAGTGTGGGTTATAGAGTTTTAATCATAAACTCTAGTGTTCCTAAGATGGCTGTTGATACAATCATAGAATCTAGAGACGCTATATTTTTTGAGAATGAGTTTCTCATGAAAAATGCACCTAGCACGACTAGTCATGAATTTATAATTCCCCATGAGCATGAAAATTTTATTCCGATAGAACAAATTGAGGAATCCTACATGCAAAATCCTGAGGAGGATGACACTATAGTCACAAGAAAAAGTAAGTGATAGAGGACTGCAAAGTCTTTTAGTGATGACTATATTGTGTACCTTATGGATGACACACCAACGACCATTGAAGAGGCATATTCCTCTCATGATGCTGACTTATAGAAGGAAGCAGTACGGAGTGAGATAGATTCTGTTATGTCCAATGGAACTTGGGAAATTGTTGATCGTCCCTATGGGTGCAAGCCTATAGGATGCAAATGGGTGTTCAAGAAAAAGCTTAGGCCTAATGGTACTATCGAGAGGTACAAGGCAAGGCTTGTGGCCAAGGGTTATACTCAAAAGGAAGGTGAGGATTTCTTTGATACTTATTCATTGGTTGCCCGATTGACCACAATTCGAGTTTTGCTTTCCCTGACAGCCTCTTATGGTCTTATCGTTCATCAAATGGACGTTAAGACAGCTTTCCTAAATAGAGAGTTGGAGGAGGAGATCTATATGGATCAGTCGGATGGGTTTGTAGCAAATGGTCAAGAAGGCAAGGTGTGTAAATTATTAAAGTCATTATATGGCCTGAAATAAGCTCCTAAGCAGTGGCATGAGAAGTTTGATAGAACTTTAACATCTGCTGGCTTTGTTGTGAATGAAGCTGACAAATGTGTGTACTATCGGTATGGTGGGAGTGAAGGAGTCATTTTGTGCTTATATGTTGATGACATACTGATCTTTGGATCCAACCTCAAAGTGATCGAGGAGGTGAAGGAATTTTTAACCAATAATTTTGAGATGAAAGATTTGGGAGAGGTTGATGTTATTCTTAATATCAAGCTTCTAAGAGAAGGTGATGGTGGGGTAACTCTGTTACAATCCCACTATGTGGAAAAGGTACTGAGTCGCTTTGGATTTAGTGACTATGCACCTGCTCCTACACCTTATGACCCTATTGTGCTATTGAGGAAAAATCAGAGAATAGCAAGGGATCAGTTGAGATATTCCCAGATCATTGGTTTGCACATGTATCTTGCTAGTGCAACAAGGCCTGACATCTCTTTTGTTATGTGCAAGCTGAGCTAGTTTGTGTCAAAACCCGTGAGATGATCACTGGCGTGCTCTTGAGAGAGTGATACGCTATCTAAAAGGCACCATGAGCTACGGTATTCGTTATACCGGACATCCAAAAGTGTTGGAAGGCTATTGTGATGCCAACTGGATCTCTGATGCTGACGAGCTTTATGCCACAAGTGGATATGTGTTTTCACTTGGAGGTGGCGCTGTTTCCTGGAAGTCTTGCAAGCAGACTATCTTAACGAAGTCTACAATGGAAGCAGAACTCACAGCATTAGACACTGCTGGCTCTAAGGCCGAGTGGCTTCGTGATCTCCTTATGGATTTACCGGTTGTTGAAAAACCCATACCGGCTATCTCTATAAACTCCGATAATTGTTGTGATTACAAAGGTTAACAGTTCTAAGGACAACATGAAGTCCACAAGACATGTTAAGAGACGATTAAAGTCTGTCAGAAAATTGAGAAGCTCTAGAGTAATAGCGTTGGACTATATTCGCATGTCTAACAATCTGGCAGATCAGTTCACTAAGGGTCTATTACGCAATGTGATAGAAAGTGCATCGAGAGAGATGGGTTTGAGACCCACTTGAAATTTACTATAGTGGTAACCTGTTCTATGTGATCGGAGATCCCGTGAAGTAGAATGGTGAAACAAGCTAGTAGTAAATTATGAGAAAAGATCCTCAGTAAGACACATTTTTGATGCATATCTTTCCTATCTGTAAGGCATGTTGGTTTTTACCTTAATGTGTTCCAAGTGGCTTGCTAAAGCAAAGATGTTGTCCTACAGAACATCTTTTGAGGAGCACACCTATATGAGTCAGGCTGCTGGTCACAGTTTATGAGATTTGGGTGATCTCTAAATACTCATAAAAGGTACTGGAGTATGACTTATATGCTTCAAACAGAGGGGATGCCTTTTGCAGCCAAGTATCAGCTAAGGACTTTAGTGACATTCACCTCACATAAAACTGACAATTCAAGGACTAGTCCATTGTTCAGTTGTGACTGAGTGAAACTATTGCTCTAGATGGATGTTCAACTTAACAGTCTCCATCGAAACACTGGTATATAAAAGAAATGTGGTTCTGAGACTACTTTGTTATAAATCCTAGAGTTTGGTGGGGATTATTGGATATAATATGGGCTTGGCCCATATAATATTTAATAAATCAAATGAAACTCTATGGTGCGTAACATTAAGTGATGTATAGTTTAATACCATACGGGATTTTGACTGAACGTTGACTCAGCTTATATGGTTGGAAATTTTTCATCTAAATTGAGAAGCTGAGAAAAGGGATAAAGGCGTGCCACATGCGCGCACGCCGCCGCATCCGCCGCCGGCCAAGCCGGGCCGAGGCCATGGCGGTGGTGAGGCAGGCGGGCGACGAGCGGGCGTGGCCAGTCTTTTGCCACTTAATCCATATAATCACGGGGGTTACTCCCTTTGATGGCGGAGGCAAACTGATTGCGTCAGTTACCTTCCTTTTCGCTTCCGTTTCTCCGTCTCCTGGGATTCTCCGCTGTCTCTCTCCCTTCCCATCGCACCATATATCCGAGTCCTCCGTCAGTCTAGATCTCCGTCTTCCGCAACCGCTCCCGAGAGAAACCACATCTCAGCAGCCTTCTGGCTTCCCCGTCCCGTATCTCTGCGCGCACGGAGCAGCGGGAGAGCAGGTGCCTCCGGAACCCTCGTCCGCTTGAGAACCTTGCACGGGGTGTGCGGCGATTAGGTTTTTATAGAGCGATCCGCGACTGCTCGACTGTGGTCCACGACTTCAAGCAACGCACTATGTCGACTAATGCGAATGGAGCCTCCGATGCCCTCGACATGGAACCCTCCGCTGGGTATAGTGCTTTTACTATATCTATCTGTATGTCATCTCTACATGCTGTAGCGTTCGTTACAGATATACACATGCTCATATATACTGTCATGAACCTGCTGATGTTATTTTTCTGGATTAAATTGATAATAAAAATGCCTAAATTTCTAACATGTAACACGTTGAGCATGGCTACTTTGATTCCTCTCATACACCTATCACCTTTGCAATGGTGGAGTGCGGCATGAGTGTACCATCAATCAGGGCACACCTGATGATTGCATATTCAATCATGGAGTTGCTGACTTGGCCGGTGCTGGCTCTTGTTGTTTTCAATAAGTACTCCCTCCATACTTTATTATTTGTCATTTTGAGTTTCCGTGTTACTATTTTGAATAGATTTATAGAAAATACGTGTAATATTTATATCTCTAAATAAATTTATTAAAAAACTAGTTTTAAAGATCTATCTAATGATATCAATTATGCATTATAAATATTAATATTTTTTATATAAAATTAATCAAAATTATTTCTTAAAAAATGAGAAAGACAGATATTGAGAGACGGAGTGAGTACTAATCTCGGCCTTGTTTAGATTGTAAATTTTTGTAATCTGGACACTGTAGCACGTTTCGTTTGTATTTGACAAACTTTGTCTGATCATGGACTAACTAGGCTCAAAAGATTTGTCTCGTGATTTACAACCAAACTGTGCAATTAGTTATTTTTTTATCTACATTTAATGCTCCATACATGCTTCCAAAAATTGATGTGATGAAAAAAATGAAAAAACTTAAATGTGAAGGTGATCTAAACAATGCCCTCGTTGTTATCAAACCTGCTGGAGGCCGCATGCTAGTGCTAATGATAAGAACGTGGTCACACACACAGTGGGCTTGCTGTGTCCCGGCCCCTACGTCTCGGTCTTGGTCGTCGTCTTCTCTCGCCTCAGCCTTGCCGGCAGAGGAGCGGCGCAGGCACCTAACCGGCCACAGATCCACCAGCCATGGGCGACGCGCAGGCTCCCGGAGGTACGTACGTGTCATCTCTCCTCACCGCGTCTCTCTCTCCCTCTCTGCGCGCTGGAACAGTAGGTCAACGTCTTGAATCCGACATGGACGACGGCGGGCAAATCTCAAGATTCTCCCGCTCCTCCGTGTCAGATCAGATCTGCTGATCTGGCCTGCCTGCGATTCCTTGCGCTAAGCAGCTCTGCCTTCTGCTACGCACAGGCTACTTCGTCGGCCGTCCAGGCAACTACGAGGACAAGCAACAAGATGCTGCCGATGTACAGAACAAAGGGAGCGCTCCTGATGGTAGGTGACGCGAACTTCACCGGCGATCCACGCCGATTCAGTTTGTTTTTGCTTTTCTATCGCTGTTGAGTTTGTGTGTTTCCCCGGTTTTTGCTGCAATTCGTAATAATCCTCCCTTGATGAAACTATTTCGCTGGGCCTCCAGAGAACCTTGAGCTGCAGCAAGGCCAAGCGCCGGCGCCTGGTGGCCAGAAGAAAACCGGCTTCCTCGGCAACCTGTACTACTCCTGAACTCATCCTTTATTGTTAGGGAGAATTATGTATTTGACACTGAAACAAATTAGTATTTCGTATTTAGCATTTAAAATTTTGAACTTTTTTATCTGACACTATATTAAAATTTTCTTCCTTATATGGCACTACCGTTCATTTCATCTATTTCTCTGTTAGTTGATCATTTTAACTGTGTCAGTTTTTTGGTACTGTGACCAACGTACCCTTCGTCTTCCCCTGGTCCCCGGCCTTGTCCGCACGGCCACTGCCGTCGCCCTGCTGAACCAGCGTGGTGCTCTCGGTGACGCCGCCGCCGGCTCCACCATCCTCGGCCGTCGTCTTGCTGCCCGCCGCCTCACGGTCCGCGTGGTGCTGCGGCTGCGGGAGGGTCGCTGGCAGCGACTGGAACCTGAAGTATCCATCGACGTCGTCCGCGTCCTCGCCGCCCTGTTCCTGGCCGGCCGACGCGGCGGCGGGCTGGTTGAGCGCGAGCTTGGGGCCGAAGTCGGCGAACTGCAGCACGTCGGAGAAGCTGAGCTTGTCGAACGACACCGCCTGCTGACTCTGAGTCGGCTGCGGTGGTGGTGCTGGTGCGGACGGCGCGTGCGCATGGTGGCCAAGCATGTAGTCGACCATCTCGGCCCCGCGCGGCGTGCTGCTCGTCTTCCGGCGCCGCGTGCTGGACTTCCCTAGCGGCCGAGCGCTCCTGTCTCCCGTGACGCCGTCGTCCTTGCACTCTTTGTATCGCCGGTGAGATCCGGCGACTGGCTTCCGGCCACCGCCACATTCTACGGCGGCGTGGGTGGGCAACCTATAGCTACCTTTGTCTTTCGTTGGGTCATGGTGTGCAGACTTTGATCTGATCAACGAGCACGTACGTATGCAGGTGGCGCGTGCGGGTACAGCTATCTGTACGAGCAGGGCTACGGCATCAATAACGTGGCGCTGAGCACGGCGCTCTTCAACGACGGCGGGTCGTGCGGACAGTGCTACGTGATCATCTGCGACAGCAACAAGACCGGGTGGTGCAAGCCCGGCAACAACTGGGTCGTCGTCTCCGTCACCAACTTCTGCCCGCCCAACTGGGCCCTGTCGGCGGCTGGTGTGGCCCGCCCTGCCCCCACTTCGACATGTCTCAGGCCGCCTGGGAGAACATCGGCATCTACACAGCGCCGGCATCATCCCCGTCCTCTACCAGCGGGTCAAGTGCTGGAAGAGCGGCGGCGTGCGATTCACCATCGCCGGCTTCAACGACTTCTACATGGTGCTCATCACCAACGTCGCCGGCAGCGGCTCCATCCAGAGCATGGAGATGAAGGGAAGCAACACGGACTGGATCCCCATGTACAGGAACTGGGGCGCCAACTGGCACTGCCTCTCCGGCGGGCTCGTCGGCCAGGGCCTCAGCTTCGCGCTCGTCTCCACCGGCGGCCAGAACCTCGTCTTCAATGGCGTCGTGCCGGAATGGTGGCAGTTCGGACAAACCTTCACCACCTACCAGAATTTCGACTACTAATAAGCAATATATAGACATTGTTTCATTCATTCATTCCACAACAGTGCAAGTTAATTTATCCAATATATCCTCCAAGACTAGAGAATTTGTGATATTTATAATTTTCTTATTTGACAACCTGTCCATCTATTATTTTCCTATTTGGCATCATGCATTTCTGCTATAAAGAAGGGCATTCATGTCATTTTACCAGCCACTTGACGCCGTTACTAGCCCAAATAGACGGCAGTGCTATCTAGGGAAGAAAATTTCAACTTAGTGCCAAATAAGAAAGTTCAAATTTTTTAGTGCCAAATATGGAGGACTGATTTGTTTCAGTGCCAAATACATAATTGTCCCTTATTGTTAGCAAACTACTCCGTAGTTTCTTGGTAACTTCAGGTGGTTGGTTACTCTGTTTTCTTCCACACCAGGTTTTCATGCTTCTCCGGCCACCGAGCGGAGAGCTAGCTGGCCGGCCATGGCCAGCCGTGCACAGCATTCACACTATTTGTCGGGGATCAATACTAAGGTACTCGAAGAAAAGGAGCTAATGACCATCAATATTTACTCATCCGAGCAGTCAAAAGCGCGACTACAGCTCCAACCGACCCCCCGGCGCGCAAGCTCTGCTTCGCCCAGCCCTACCTCGCCCGATCCTTGGGTCTGCGCTCCGCCTCGCTCGACCCCGAGGACACGGGCTCTACCTCGCCCGACCCTCGGGTTTGCCCTCCGCCTCGCCCGGCCTCTGGGGGAGGACTCCGCCTCGCCCGACCCTTGGGTCTGCGCCCCGCCTCGCCCGACCCTTGAGTCTACGCTCTGCATCGCCCGGCCTTTGGGGGAGGACTTCGCCTTGCCCGACCTCGAGGCCGCGGGCTCCACCTCGCCCGACGGAGACCCATACCGCCGCCAACCACTTCAGGTCCAAGCGTACGGGCCTTAGTCAAAGCTCTGACACCAGGGAAGAGACCGACACGCCCCGATATAACCCGTGGCCTTGACGGGCCATACCGAAGGATTCACATCAAGAATAGCGTCGAGCGTACCGGTGTTGTTCTGCCTAACCCCCGTACGAACACTGACGGGCGCGTCAGTTCACCACGACGTTCGCCAGGACGGAGTGGAGCGCCATGACCGGCATATGACGCCTACGCATGGCGAGAGTGACGGATAGGACCGCGACGCAAAGCCGTCCCTATTGACATCTACATGGTCGGCGGGACCCGCATGAAGGAGAAGAAGGACTCGGCAATCCTGATGGCTTTCGGCTCTCTCTCGTTCTTCTTTTTCCTCCGCTGTAACCCATGCTTTCCCTTGGTCTATAAAAGGAAAAGCAGGGCGTCCCATAAGGGGCATCGAACAAACGACACATCGCACAACATCAGATCAAAACCACTAGCATCGAACCTATAGCCGAGCAGCGACCGAGCTCTCGGTACCCATTCATTCTTTCCACCAAAGACTTGGGACATGTCTCTCTCGCCTGTTTGTAACCCCTACTACAAACTTTTAGTGCTATTAATACGAGCAGCAGCAACGAACTGGACGTAGGGTCATTTTGCCCGAACTAGTATAAACCTCGTGTCCTTTTAGCACACCATCCGGGCCAGACGCGCAATAATATAAATTTACTCGTTGGTGTTTACTCAAAACACCGACAGATGGCGCGCCAGGTAGGGGCCTTTTGCGCGTCTCGACATAAACACCAGGCTTCGGATGGCCAATCACGACATCAGCTGGGTCCTAGGTGCGCACATGCGCTTTGGGGACCTAGACTTCATCATCACGACGGAGGGAGAGTTGGCGATGGCTCCCGCCATCATCCGACCACTCCCCTACGCCGGCCTCGACGCAATCGCCGAAGCGCTTGAGGAGTTGCAGCCTCACGCACCGGAGGCCCGTTCCCCCGAGAACAACGAGCTCCTCAACTTCTACTACGGGAGGTTGGAGCGCCAGCTCGACGCCTTCCTTGGACCCGACCGTCCCGGGAGGACCTACGTCACCTCACCTTCTTGTTCGCCAACGTCATGGCACAGCTCGCCGGGGGAGAGCCCCTCTCCCCAGAATGCCTCATTCGGAATGCCCCAATAGTGCTCCCATTTAGTCTCCGCAACACCGCAGAGATCGTTGGCCACCTTATGGCATCACGCATGCCTCCATTCCCCACAAACGACGAGTTCATGGGGATGGTCGGATATGTCACGAAGTCTTTGCACGACCTCCTCATAGAGGAGTCGGAGTCGCCCTCCAGCTCTAACTCCAGTAGGGGAAGCCGTCATCCCTCTCGTGAATGCTTCATGGCAGGTACCTCCGAAGGACACGTCGATAGCATTCGTGAGGAGGAGGCTACCCCGATGAATGACCTCGACGATGAGGTCGAGGGCGATGTAGGGGCCCCACCCCGCCTGTGGGTGGAGCAGCTGAAGGCCTGGCACCGAGAGCTTGAGGAAGCGCGACTCCAGCTCGAGCAGGAACGCGCGGAGCTCGATCGCGAGATCGAGCGCTACGGAGACGGTGGGCACGCACGTGCCATGGCCCGCGACATGAACCGAAGGATCATTGAGGATAATGAAGCCCTCCCACACTTTGCCCGGGTGAGCCAGAACATTGCTGCTGCTGCGGCCTTGCTCCGTGGGCTTTCGGGGGCCACGACGCCCGATGAGCGTCGGGCTCATCACAAAATTCGCACGCTGCTCGAGCGCGCGGCAGCGCAGTAGGTCGAGAGCTCATTGTCTCGGCGACGTGAGCTCGACGCCAGCCAGCGCATGCCCTTAGAGCACCTCGGCAATGACACGTCAATCCACTAAGCGCCGCAAGGCGGTAGGCAGCGCACCGCGATCCCGGTGCATCAGCGTCTTGGCCGCAACCGTGACGCACGCGACACCCTCGATGCCCGTAGACGTACCCATGATGATCCAAGGGAGGGTGCTAGCCGCGGCTATCACCCTCATCATGGCGGACGCTATGACAACAGCGAGGACCGAAGCCTGAGCCTCGGCCTGCTGGGGCCTCAGGCCTTCGGCCGACACATCCTCAACGCCGCCTTCCCGACAAGGTACCGACCACCAACCAATATCTTGAAATACTCTGGGGAAACGAACCCCGGACTGTGGCTCTAGGATTATCGGCTTGCCTGCCAAGCCGGTGGAGCGGATAATGATGATTTTATTATCCGCAACCTTCCATTGTTCCTGGCTAATTCGACGCGAACATGGTTGGAACACCTTCTACCCAATAGAATCCAAAGTTGGGTGGACCTAAAGGAGATCTTCATGGGGAATTTCCAGAGCACGTACAAGCACCCTGGGAACCCATGGGATCTCAAGAACTACCGATAGAAGGCCGGAGAAACCCTTCGTGGGTACATCCGGTACTTCTCCCGGTAGTGCAATGAGCTACCTAATATCATCGACGCCGATGTTATAGGAGCTTTCCTATCAGGGACCCCCTGCGAGTCCCTGGTTCACAAGCTGGGACGTAAGGGCCCGTGAACCACCAAGGAGCTCCTTGACATCGCCACCAGCCACGCCTCAGGCGAGGAGGCGGTTAGAGCGATCTTCGACCGCCTCAAAGGCAAGGCAAAGTGGGATGAAGACGCCGGCAAAGGCGCCTCCAACCGTCTCGGCAAGAAGAAGAACAGGCAGCGGCCTGAGGGCTCGCTCATGGCTGCCGCCGACCGCAAAGGGGATCAGAAGCCCACCAAGGGTACCCCAAACCACTTCGAGAAGCTACTCGAAGGGCCATGCCCGAACCATTCTTTGCCCGTCGAGCACCTATACATGGACTGTGACCTCTTGAAGCGGTTATTGTCCGTGGGCTCCAACAAGGGGGAGCAATGGAAGGAGCCCAGCTAGATGAAGCGCGCAACGTCGCCCTCCTCCGCTCAGACAAGTACCAGCAAGCGTTGTGTCGGTACTACAACCGTCGAGTGTGGGGTCAGGCCTTCAACGTCGGGGACCTAGTGCTCGTCTTCGTCTAGAGGAACAAGAACTGCCACAAGCTCTCTCCGCCATGGGAGGGGCCGTACATCATCGTGGAGGTGCTCTGACCAGGCGCCTACAAGCTTAAGGCCATCGACGACGAAGTTTTCCTCAATGCCTGGAACATCGAGCAGCTATGTCGCTTTTACCCTTAATATACG